CGGTTCTCACGTGGCAGCAACTGCCAAGAATGCCCCTCGCCCCCTCGGTCCTTCCCCTCGGCCTCACCCTCGGGGAGGTCGGTGACGATGGCCTCCGGCGAGATGCACACGCCGCGGTCGTAGACGGGCAGCTCGTCGCAGGCCAGGCTCTCGGGCCAGCTGTGGTTGTACATCTTCATGAGGGGCTCGCAGTCGTCGCGCGCGCGCTGGCACACCGACTTGCACGGCTTGATGGGGTCGTGCAGGAACTCCAGCGTGCAGATGGGCGCGTACATGGCGCAGAGGAAGAAGCGCAGCACCGAGCTGCAGTTCACGTCCACCAGCTCCTCGTACTGCTCGATGGCCAGGATGGCGTTCTCCTGCGTGCTGTGGTGCAGGTGGTTGGGCATCCGCGTGATGTTCCAGGGCATGTGCCGGCACATGGGGATGCGCACCGCCTCGCAGGGCGCGCCGCGCACGCCGAGCGCCAGGCGCAGCCCCAGGCACAGCGTCGCCAGGACGGAGAGCAGCATGGCACTGCGCGGGCGCGCCGCCACCCCGACCGGCAGAAGGGGCCCCCGGCTTCCTGTCCCCCTAGTCTCTCGTCCTCCCTTCCCTGGGGAGGAAGTCCTTCGGGGGCACGGGAGAGGCTCTCCGCCCGCGCTGCGGTCGGCAGCGGTGCGGGACAGCGGGAGCGGCCGGGGGTATCCGGCGTCCGGCGCACCGAGCGCGAGCAGCGCCAGCCCTCAGCCTGCGGGGCGCGGACCCGCCCAGGCAGCTCCAGTCCCCGACCCGGCAGCTCCGAGCGCAGCCGGCCTCGGCCATTGCGGGACCCTATTTATCCCGACGCGTCCCCTGACGTGGGCTCGGAACGCTCCCTTGGCAGCGGCGGGAGCGGCGCGGGCTCCCCCTCGGCCGCACCCGCGCACCACCACCCCCCCCCAGCCCTCGCTTTGCCGGAGCGGTGACATCATCTCCTCCGGGCCGCAGCCCAGGGCTGGAATCCTGCATTTCCCCAAAGTCCCTCCTTTTTAGTCTGGCCAGTCCTTTTTCTTCGCACCAAGAAACAGAGTCTGGCAGTCGTTTTGGACACCGGATCCAAGAGGGTGCAGGAGAGGATTTCAGGAGAGGCGAAGACGCTATTTGGGTCAAAGCTGAACTTTGCGCCCTCTCTGCCTTAGAGGTTCCCCAAGTACAGAGTTGGAGGGAAATGTGAACTTCTGCGGCCCTTTAATTCTGAAGCATGCCTGCTTTCTCCAGTAGGGGGCATGAGAAGCGCTGAGCGGCGAGACTATTGTGTGGGACCGGATAGACACGTTATATAAACAAACGCCCCCTCCCCCAGTTGTACGGAGTTGGGTTTTGTTGTTACTGTTGTGACTAGAAGACATGAGTTTGGGCTCAGGTTTTTCCAGAATGGCATTTGGTCTGTACCTGCTCCAGGAACAGAAATGCCTGAAGGTGCAATAATAGCATCTTCTAGTTTAGGAATGTTTTCCATCCGCCAACATTCCTCTTCCTTCTTCTCACTCCCTATTCCTCTCTCCAATGTGAATGAAACCCAGGAGAAAACACAGAGCACCGGACACCACAAGCTGAAAGATCTTTTTCCCCCTTCAGGCCAAGCGATTTCCAACGCAGCAGCCTAGAATCTTGATTTTTGATGTTCTTGAAACTACTTGAGTAAGAAGTTGTGTACCGTGGAAAGCAAATGTGTATGTTTTGTGTTCTCTTTTCTCTTATTTTTATTAGGAAAAGGTAATAAAACCAACTGCTGGCTCAGGTCTCCACAGAAAACGCAGGCTTTATTGTTGCAAATGTACATCAGTCTTCAGGCAGTAAGATTTCTGGTATATGATATCTTCTTAGGGCATTAGAATATGAAAACGTGGTCTCTGAATGTTAATCTTCATAAACATAATTCAGGGGTTCCTGGGAGGCTGACTCGTTAAGCGGCTGCCTTCGGCTTAAGTCATGATGTCGGGGTCCTGGGATTGAGCTGCATTGGCTCCCTTCTCAGCAGGGAGTCTGCTTCTCCCTCCACTGCTCCCCCAGCTTGTGCTCTCTCTCTCTCAAATAAATAAGTAAATAAAATCTTAAAAAAAAACATAAAAGCATAGTTCAATTAGAAATCTGAACATGTGGCAGATAGTTGTTTTTTCATTTTGTTTTTTGTTTTTTTTTTTTGGCTCCAAAGCTTAGACCCACAATGTTTAATTTTGACTCTGACCAAGACTAAGAATTAAAATAGCCCAAAGAACAAAAAATACAGCTGGCATTTTATTGAGCATTTACAATGGGCTGGGCGTGGTGCTAAGCTCTTTAAATGCACTATCTTATTTTTTTAGGGACCATGAATTAAACATGGTAAGTTGAGAGGACAAATGACACAAATATATTTCAGGATTCATTCAAGGAGTCAGGTTCTATTTAGGGGAAGCCCAGAGCGTCCAAACACAGCCACACCAACCTAAAGAGGTATTTCCAGATAAGTCTCAAGCTCCCAGGATGCCAGACCAGGCCAATGAAATATCACACAAAGGGGATAACCCAGATGACATCTTCAGCCATTTGCAGCAGTCATATCCAATGAGTCTAAACCCCCTGGCTTAGTGAAAAATATTTGCAGCCCCAATTCCTACAGGGGAAGAAAATACAGTTTTGAGAAACAGCTGAATTCGGGCTCCTTTTCCTGTGAGTTGGTGGAAGAGGCGACCTTGGAAAGGGCTGTCCCTGGCACAGCCAGCTGGAACCTGCTGCGTCTGTCCCAGCAAGTACCAAGTCACAATGCTGCAGGCATTGCCCTGATGTTCCCCAGGGCATGTCCTTTAAGAAGGGGGGAGGAGAAGGTAAGAGGCCCCCTCTATAAAGCTCTTTGCCCCCCCCCCCCCAGGAGGTCCACTGGCAGCCTGTCTTTAGTGCTTCTACTTGGGGTGGGGCAGCAGTGAAGGATTCATCAGGAGATTCCATCAACTGGCCTTCGTCTTCAGGCCCTGCCTTAGCACTCAATCCATTACCCTGTACTTGACACTGATTTGCCAATAGCTCACGTAACTGAGGAAGTTCCCCTGGTCAGTGGCTTCTCTCTGGTGGTTCCTTTTCAGTCTCCTTAAAGGCCTACTCCTCTGTTTGGGCTCCATGCCCAGTCCTCGCTCTCGACATGCCCTGCCTCTCCAGGAGTCTCAACCTCAGCACTCCCGACACTGGGGCCAGATAATTCTTTATTGGCTCCTGTGCATTATGGGAAGTTTAGTAGCATCTCTGGCCTCCTAGATGCCAGTGGCGGCTTAGTCCCCACCCTGCTATGACAATCAAACATTTCTCCAGATATCGCCAATGGTCTCCCCTGCTGTTCTCCTCTTTGGCTTCAGTTATCACCCAGATGCCTACTGCTTCCCAAACCAGCCCTCTAGTCCTGCAGCTTTCTGGAAGTGCTTATCCAACTGTTCCTGGGGTATTTCCACCTGCATATCCCACAGGCATCTCAGAGTCAACCAATCCTAAACTGATTTGTCTTCTTTCCTCATTCAGGACTGAACTCCCAGGGCCCCAAACCAGAAAGCTCTTCCTCCTTCTGTTCCACCCTCATCTCCGTTCCACCCTCTCCTGCTGCCACCATCTCAGTTCAGACATCACTGTCCCTCATCTGATTTATAACATCTCCCTCCTCCTTCTCCCTGCCCATTTTCCACCCTCACATCTGACCCAGCTTCCTAAGGCCTACGCCTGATGGCGCCCCTCCCTGACTTTCAAGGCGCTGAGTGATCTGGCTCCAAATTACTCTCCTTAAAAGTGCTACACCCATTTTCCCTTGTCCCCATGTCCTTCATCCAGGAATGTTCTCTCCCTCTTTCACCTGGCTCACTTCCTCATTCATGAAACACAGATGAACTGAAGAGATGCTGTACATTAGGAAAGCAAGGGTCTTTTTTTTAAAGTTGCTTCTTTTTCTTAATTCCATATGGTACATCCTAATATTACAGAACATAAACCATAAACCCAATTAACTTTGTTCTTGATGCTAAAATCCCGGAATCACATACCTCTAGGGTTGTGGCCTTGTCAGGTGATGGGTGAGGGTAGCAGTCTCACTGCAAGTGTGGCCTCAAGGCGCTGTCCCTGACTCAGTCCTATGCCCAAGAGCCAGGGCTTGTCCCCTAGCCCCCTGGGCTCTATACTAAGAAAAGGGTCAGGATGAATGACTGACATCTTTTCTTCAGGAAGGGACCCTTCTTTCCATTTCTAATTTGGAGGAAGAAGCTGTCCATTTTGACAAAGGGGCAAGCGGTGTGGGGGCACAGCAAGTGCAGTAGCATGGCCTTCCCGACCTTGAACTTGACGTTGTCTCCCAGTATGTGGTTACCTGCCGCACACTTCAGTTAGTGGAGACACATGTTCCTTCCCGCCATCCCGCTCCTCACCCCGCCCCCCTCTCAAACGCGGATGCCCTTCAGGATGCTAGTGGCACCGCTGCCACTGCATTTCCTGTTGGCAGCAGAGAGCAAGTGGAAACAGACGCCGCAGCGGCCAGCGGCCCAGGCAGGAACCGCTCCCGCGATTCACCCGGGCCTTCCCAGGCCCTGGTCCCGGCTCCCGCACCTCGCGCGCCTGACCCCAACCGCCGGCGGGGGCCGCGGCCGGAGGCAGCCAGCTCGCCGAGACCGCATCCCGCACCCGGCCGAAGGCTGCGCG